AGGAGGAGGAGGAGGAGGAGGAGGAGGAGGAGGAGGAGGGAGAGGGGGAAGAGGAGGAGGAGTAGGAGGAGCAGGAGAAGGAGAAGTTGGAGGAGTTGGGGAAGGATGAGGAATCTGAACGGGATGAAGAGGAGGAGGAGGAGGAGGAGGAGGAGGAGGAAGAAGAAGAAGAGCGGGAGGGGGGAGGAGGAGCAGGATGATGATGATGAGGATGAGGAGGAGGAGGGGGAGGAGGAGGCTCTTTTTCTCGCAGTGCTCTTCCGATCGGACCGTTTTGGGCCTGGCTTTCGCCACGCGTTTCTTTTGTGTTGCCCCCCCCCCTTTCCCCGCATCGTTTTGGACCGCTTGCCCTTGGCTCGTTTGCAAAAGGCGCTCGCGCCTTGGCGCCTGCGGCCCTCCCGCCCCCCGTCTGCAGGGACTCGTTGCTTGGCATCGCTCGTGCGTGTACATTTTTTCTGGGTGGTGACCCGCGAGGAGCATCTCTCCTCCTCCTGCTCCTTCCTCCTCCTCCTCCTTCCTCCTCCTCCTCCTCTTCCTCCTCCTCCTCCTCCTCCTCCTCCTCCCGCGGGGGCCCGTGGGGAGCATCCTCGCAAACAGCAGCGCACGACACCGCAGAATGCACGGGGAGCGGGCGTCCGAGCGGTGCCAGGGGCACGCGGCACCCCGCGGTTGCGGAGAAGTGTGGGGTGTGGGGGGTGGGGGCGGGCGCGGGGTGGGTCGCGGGCGGGTCGCTGGCGGGTCACGGGGCGGGCCGCCAGGCGCGTCGCGGGGTGGATGGCGGGGGCGTGGCGGGGGGGGAGGACGAGGACAACGAAACAAGCAGCGGCAGCAGCAGCAGCAGCAGCAGCAGCAGCAGCAGCAGCAGCAGCAGCAGCGCCAGCACCAGCAACAACAATACCAGCAACACTAGCAACATCATCAGCAACACCAGCAGCAACACTCATGCAATGACCGTTCGCTCCTATCTGCTCGCGTGCCATTCACCACGTGTATCCCACCCCTTTGGTACCCGCCCTCCTTCGTCTTCGCTCGTACCACCTTGGGGGCATAGTTTCCTTGCCTGCCGCGCGAAACCAGCGCAGGCCCTGCAACACGGGAAGACAGGACGGATGGAACGAGGAGGGAGGACGGGCACAGTGATGGAGCACGGGAGAATGAAGGGGCCAGGAGCAGACCCTGGCGGGCGGGTCGGCGGATGGAACGAGGAGGGAGGACGGGCATAGTGATGAAGCACGGGAGACTGATGGCGCCAGGAGCAGGCCCCCGCGGGCGGGTCGGGGGGGAGGCGGGCTCGGGCGGCCGGGTCGAGCGGGCGGGCTGCCGAAGCGCGAGTCCTGCATGCTTCGCGAGG